GTGTGTGTGTGTGTGTGTGTTTTTGCTCCTAGGACGAGATGCCAGCCATTGTCCCAGGTTTGTGCTGTCCTCATTGCCTTCCTCGTCCAGCCACCTGCATTGCCTTTGGCGACCCTCATTATCGCACCTTTGATGGCCGCATGCTGCATTTCCAGGGAGCGTGCACATATATCCTGGCACAGGACTGTGAGAGCGGAGACTTCAGGTGAGTAGGTCACCATGGTTACGGAGGCAAGTGCTGTATGGTCATAGACATGTTTTGTCTATTACTTGTGTAGTTGTTGCTTTGTTCTTTTGACATATTGCATACTTTTACTTCTTTCTATAGATAGAAAACTGGTTGAACCGCTCATGACTCATGTCTGCATTAAATAGCCTGTAACGAGGGGTTGGAAGTAGATGCTGCTTGGTTTTAAAGGCCCTGAAACCCTATTTTCTCTGTCATCTCCTAATATGAGTAATGGGGCCTTACATGAAAACATTTTTTTCTGCCAAAGTTTCAGATTTTGTTATTTCACAAGACATTTCTGTGCTTTTCCCTCCTTTTCCTGGTGTGAAGTGGGCAGTACTCACATACTATACTATACTATACTATACTATACTATGATGACACACACCTATCAGGATTTATCAATTTCTTAATCAAAATGTGTTCACAGCTGAGGAGTTGTTTGCTTATGTTTCAAGGCTACTGTTGATCAAATTTGGCTGAAACCAAAACCCACACAGTCCTGATGAGTGTATTAATAAATCATAACCGAGGATTTGTTTTCCTGACCTTTAAATTTGATTGTTGTGTATTTATTTATGCATATTAAATGTTAGAGAAATATTTTTTCAGGGCTCTAAGAGATTACAAGCCAAAAAGTTTGGGAACTCTTAGTTGGTGTGTGTTCGTCCTTGAAATAATTAGCATGAGCAGCAGCAAAATGGGTTTGATGTGTGTGTGTCACTTTGCAGAAACATCTACCTTCCAATTGCTTTGCTTTTGTAACTGCTGTAGAAAAGACTTGACTTTATACATCTAGAACAGGAGGCAACAACTTATGCTTCCTGCCGTTAAGAAAATACCAATAAAAGACAACAAAACAGCATACCATTTCATGTGACCTTTCAATAAAGAAGCTGATTTTTTTTTACGTTTATAAAATATTAATAAGTAAAACACTGCACTCTTTATGCCCCTCTTCGTTTGTACAGTATTCATGCCACTAACGACGATCGTGGACGTAAAGGAGTGTCCTGGACTAAAGAGGTGACTGTGTTTATAGGAGACGTGACAGTGCAGCTACTCCAGGACTGGGTAGTGAAGGTTAGTGTGTACAATTACTGTAAATGATTTATATCCAGTAATGTTTGTATTATGCATACACTCAAGCCAATTTTTTACTCTTCAGGTGAATGATGAGGTTGTGACTCTGCCGTTCCTCAGAGAACCGTACATCTACGTCGAACGACAAACCAACACCATCTTACTCAACACTAACATCGGGCTGAAGGCACGGTCTTTTGTCTCTTTTATCTCTCATTGTCTTTGTTTTGACACACACTTACACACCCGCTGGTCCACCTTCAGGTCCTGTGGAGCGGTCGTTCACATCTAGAAGTGAGTGTGCCAGGCAGCTATAAGGGCCACACCTGTGGCCTCTGTGGAAACTTCAACAACTACTACCAGGATGATCTCCGAATGCCCAGCGGACGAATCAGCCTATCAGAGTCTGACTTTGGCAACAGCTGGAGGGTAAAATAAAAACATAAAAGAAATAGAGTGACAAATAAAGGGAAATAAAATTAAATGATCATACAAAAACAAGTCAAACAACAATTTCTCACATTTTAGGTCACAAATAGCAGCCACTCCCTCTCATCCTGTCGTCCTGGTGAGGATGTCGACCCCTGTAAAGACGCAGGCTACCAGGCCAAGAAGGGGGCTAATGCTCGCTGTAAGGTCCTGAAGTCTGCTGTTTTTAAGCCCTGCCATCGTGTGGTGCCTCCTGAACCTTGGTACGGAGCCTGTGTGTACGACCTCTGTGCCTGCGGGGCCAATAGTGATGAGTGTCTGTGTGACACACTGGAGGCCTATGCCAGTCAGTGCAGAGAGGCTGGAGTCATATTGCAATGGAGGAGCCCATCACTGTGTGGTAAGTAAAACACATGCTTAACTGTAAAGACCCTGATAACAATGTGAGAGATTTCTGTATTTATCTTTACTGATTAGAAAGCTGGGTTGGTGAAAGGTAATGCCGCTTACTTATGTGTACCAATCCCAAGTAAGTAACATTTGATTTACACTATTTTGTGACTGTTTCGTGGGTTGTTTGCTTATGTTGCCAAACCACTGTCAAATCCAACTGATCATAACCTCACCCACACAGAGCAGGGGGTAGAAAACAAACCACAATGGTTGAGAGCTTATGACAAGATAAACATGTGAAGTTGTTTTTGTGCCTCAAACTGCACAAAATGTTTTATACCACCCAGTTAGCGCAGAGTGCATGATTAGCAGTATCTAGCTATCTGGTCAGAGCCCTGGAATTTAATAAGACGTTGGATGGTTTTGTGCTGAAACTGCAGGAATAAACACCTGTTTTAAGGTAAGACAGCTCAGCTCACAACAGCTGTGTTTAGGGTTGTTTATCTAATATTGCTGTTGTTTGTCAGGCTCTGTGATCAATGCAGTTTTATGTGTGTTTAGAGATTCAGTGTAGGCGTTGTTGACAGTTGACAGAGGTGCAGACTGATGGCTTTGGATCAAAAATGCTAACATTGTAACACAAATAAATCCCAGATGAGTAGAGACTCTGTTTGGCTGATCAGTTATACTTAATAAATCCTGTATTGACATATATAAGGGAAGTTTTGCCTGTTGGCACTTCACTGCACACACAAACACTCAGTAGTAACTTTATAGTGAGCAGCAGGAGATCATTGTTAATCACTGACACAATTTTTTCCTTCCATTGTTTTTGAGGACACATTAAAGTACATAAATTACAGAACAGAACTCAAACACGTGGTAGCCAAATGGTTACAGCACATGCCACGTGGCTGCATCATTGCAACTGCTGCTAGTTCGATTCCATTTCCTTTCTCCTGATTTGCTGTCTACCTCTACCAGTCACCATCCAATAAAAGTAAGAACGAAATAATCTTAACCCAAGAACCCAAACACAAGTAGGGAGTGATATTAAACACCGTTTTTGAGTTTTAAACTAAATGAATGTATAATAATCTTGTTGTTTTTTCTCAAAACTAAATTTTACTGTTTACTGTTGCTTATTTTGTCACAATATAAATTGTTATCTTGAAAGACACATTTGAAAGGTTTCCAAGGGCTTTAAACATGTTTTTTATGATTGTTTAACAATAAGAAAGATAAGGAGTGATAAGTGAGAATTATACTGTTACTACATTGCGAAACAACCAAATTATACCTTTCTGCACTTGCAGTAAAATAATAATAATAACAATAACAACAAATATTTTATTTTTAGAGTTTTCTCTTTGGAAACAGTGGTCTTATTGGTGTCTGACACCTGCTAATACCTACTGGTCACCAGTAAAGGTCAACAGAAGTCACATCCTGACAATGTTCTCAGTCTTGCATTGTTTTTTTCTCTGTCGCCGTCTTCCACAGCTGTTGGCTGTCCAGTGGAGAGGGGCTTTGTGTTTGATGAGTGCGGACCCCCGTGTCCCGTAACCTGCTTCAACGTTGACGTACCACTGGGGGTGATAGAGAGCCACTGCTTCAAACCCTGTGTACCAGGCTGCCAGTGTCCCGCTGGGCTTGTTCTACACAACAACTACTGCATACAGCCAGAAAAGTGCCCCAAGATCATTCATGGAAACCCCTCATAATGCTTGAACTGCTCACTTTCAAGTGGACACATATGCACTGCCACCTCTAATAATATTCAATCCACTCAAGGACTGCACAAGCCTTCTATCACTGTACACCGAAGTTTGGAAAAATGGAAAAATATCCCAACAGATGAACCTCCATGACCTGTGGTTTTAACACATTGACTGATGTGAATTAGATGTGCATTTTAGAGTTTTTATACACATTGTTATACTGTTATATGTAGCACTGAATATTTATACTACACAAGTGTTTGCCATTTTAATGTCCCATGTTCACTGGCATTGTCCCTACTTGTTGTGTTTTACTCACGTATGAGATATCGTCCACAGGTTAGATTATTTACTGTACAGGTTTATTGCAGCACAGTGCAATGTCTGACTGTACATACAGTAAGCCACATAATCTCAGGTACTCCTTTTTTTGTTCTCATCGTACAAATAAACAAATGATTGACTCATATTTGTGGTGTTTTGTTTTCTGAATGATTCTGAAAGATTAAATACATTATTCATAAAGAGTATTATGTTGTTTTACTTTCATTTTCTATGAAGGTTCATGGAAAGAAATATGTAATTTGGTACTAATCATAGGTAAGATAATTTAGATATGTGTTAAATTGGTACATTTCTAATTAATTAATCTAATTGCTTGTGTCAGCTGAATTTGCAATAAATGGTCATGGGATTTAATATAACACTTCTTTCTAGGAAATTCCTCTTGCTTACACACTCAACTAACTACTATAAATCCCAACTAAAAGAACAGTGTCATGCTTCTATTTTCATAATTAGTCCTAATTACATAGGTATTCCTGTAAAATCCCTTAAAATACGGTGTTACCCTGATCTCACAAATGGATTCTTTAAAAGATTCATGACATATGCTGTATGTGACAAGCAATTTAATGTATAATATGCAATTTACAAGCTGGGGCCAACTCTCACTAACAGTTCAGTGTAACAGAACTCATTTCACACAGGTGTAATGCGTCACATGGTCACGCATCACATTTCACTCTCCCTCTGACAGATACACTGTCACTTTTGTTGCTTGGTAACCTGATCCAGCTGTTTGTCCAGAGAAGTGCTGTAACCATAGTAATAGCCTATATAATTTATCAGTCTGCAGTGGAGAAACATGGAGCAGGTAAGATGTTTTGATGTTGGGGGAGAACTGCATTTGTTTTCCATGTGTAAACTATGACTAATGTCTTTGTTTTTTCCTTCAGGATTGTATCGCTGGTCTGTACCAGTTCCTGGGAAAGTCTGTCGGAGCAGAGTTCACCTCTGAAGATGTGAGTCTCCTCTACCTCAAAGTGTTTCATGTTCCCTCTGACATCGATGAAGCACATGCAGCGATGAAGAAGGTAACTCAGACATATTTCAAACAACAAACATCAATCATTGATCACCATTTCTTATTGAGGAATACTCCTGTGTTCCTGTGTCTGTTTCAGATTACAGAAGGTGACAATAGCTGGTCCTGTGTTGGTGAAAATGTGTTGGATGTTCTCCTACAAATGGAAAGGGAGAGGAAAAAGAAGGAAAAGGTAGTCAACCGATTGCTTTTCTTTCCTCTTAATTTCATATGAGAGTGTGAGAGAAACCCACTGACCAAAATATGATATTAATTGCTACTAAGAGTCAATATTGCTATTTACAGCTCTACTGGGACCTCCAGCTGCGAAATGTTGGAAATCCGAATACTCTGTATGCAATGGACAAGCCAGTCATCATCGATCCTCATGTGCTGAATTGCCTGCACCAAAGCACAGATCCAAATACTCTCATAAAAGCTCATAACCGATCCAATTCAGGATCTTTAAAGTCATGCCCCTTTGACACAGACAGTTTACAGGTATGTGCTTATGGTGTGGCAGATTTCATTCTGCATGGAAGCAATTTTTCTGTTCATAATTACATTTACTTTCTACATGCACAGAGGGAGAGAACGGTGGGGAACAAAGAGCTGTATGGGAGTGTGAGACGTGTGAAGAGTCTAACAAAGGCTGCCAGGCAGTGCTGGGCCAGGTGAGCATCTTAAGTTTAAGAAGTTGCTCAAATACAATTCTATAGTAAATTCCTTTTTATAATACAGTACTTGATACTTTGATTCTACCAGAGTACAGAGGAAAATATTAAATGTTTTACTCCACTACATTATGTTTAAAGGGTTGAGTTTCTAGTTACTTTGCACATTAAAAAGTAGGATAAACTCAAAATGTGATGCATTGACATGTACAGTATTACCATGCTGCATGTGTAGTAAGGCAATTATTCAACACCTGAAAGGCCCCAAATTACTTATAATAACTAATACCTTTTCTCAACTTAGATGTACTACAAGGGGTTTTAACTGGTTATGAAAAATTCTCAATTTAATACTGATGCCTCAATATGACCCATATTGACAAGCAAAACCATCAGCGAGAAGATTTCTATATAGTTATTCTTAATTCCTGGCGTCGGGTCGGATTTGATCGGATTGCCCTTGAAATCAGACAAAGAGGCGGAGGAAACATCACTTTTGTCTGCCAGAATCAATACAAAATAAAAGTTCCTTGTAGCTGCTTCAAGTAAGTAAATATTTAAATGCTGGACTTTTAGTTTAAAGCAATCCAATGTAACATTTGCTGAATAGTTGACACTGGTCTCAAATGACAATAATGGAATAATGTTAAATGCTATTACTTAACTTAACTTATTATAAAAGTGGCACAAGTAGAATACAGTTACTGAATCAGCTGACATAAACCACCATGAAATACTGGTCATACCAGACCAAGTAAGAATGTCTTTTTTCTTCTTTCAAAAGTTGCATAATATCATTTTAACAGATTATTTACACATTGCAATATTGCTTTACTTTTTTTTTTTTTAACACTGGAAACAAGAAACACTGTTGTGTAATGTTAAATGCTTCTCTTTATACACTGAAGGGTTTGTTTACAGTAATTATGATGTTGGTATGTGTTTCTTCTTAGATTGGCATTAGAGGGTGTACAGAGTATATTGCAGTCTTCCCGGCAGAGCCAAAGCCTCGGGGTCAGAAGTCCGGCCTGGGGCTTTGTCACCCTGTCAGACATCCTCCTATTAGTGGAAGTGAAGTATGATGTGGTGACCCACTTGCTTTACACAGAAATGCTCATGGAACACTACAGTAAGGAAGTTTCTGTCCTCACAATATAACACAGAGAACAATCTCATAGCTCGATGTAAAGTTTACTCAGCATCATAGAGTCTGGTCCAGATGCTTCACATTCACATTTTTGTTTTGGTGACACCACAGCTCCGAATATGTGGGAGACTATGTTGCCATGCCAACAACACATGGAAGAGGAGGAGCTGGAGGATCTTGCAGATGAGGCGTTGGAGTCAGGTGACATGCTCCGTTTGGCTGAGTTGCCAGGAGCATTCAGAATATACAGGTAACACACATGCACCAAGGTTGGTATTGTAAATTCAAGACGAAATAAAAAAATATTATACTTAAAGATCTTAAATTGAAAAGAAAACTACAATCAAAGTTAAATACAACAATATTTCTTCATCCCAAAACTACACAATAAAATTGTAAATTCTGTAATGATTCCAATCTTGGAAACTCTCCTCCTTCCATGTACGAAAACACAAATAGTGTAAAATAGTAAAAGTAAACATTTTTTTTTTTTCCTTAATGGACATCAAACAAAAGCAGTATAATAGAGGTGATTCTCCTGCAGGGCCTGCCTGGGAGCATCTTCTGGAAGCCATCCCAGGGAGCGGTCGTGGTCTGCCCTTTCGCTCTTGTATGAGTTACACACATTTCGTCAATGTGAAAGGGACACACTAACAGTCCTGGGCGAGAGGTAAATACTTTCAAAACATATCAGGTGAAGATCACACAAATCTTAACCTGCTGGGAATAAGCCACTGTTCGGTCTGCACAGGAAGAAAATCCAGATAATGTCACATGAGTTGTCTACCCCACATGCTTGACTTCAGAATAATTATAATAATCTTATAATAATTATACTGTCTTATTCTAAGATCTTGCTCCCCTTGTGCCTAAAGCAGCTTAACACTAATGCAAGGAATGTCAGGATTATTATTCCAGATTTGACACACATGGACTTGTGGCTATATGGTTCTAACCAGATCTGGATGGAGTTGATTCATTAATCTTTTGCTTTCCAGGCTTGACGGGGAGAGCTTGAGACTGCTGTGTCTATACATCAGGTTGGCAACTTTAAGAGCTCAGAGAGAAAAAATGTCCTACAGCGCCCTTCTGGCTGCTCGGCAGTCCTGGGAGACGTGGTGAGCCAACAAACACAAACAGTGAAACTAACAGTTCAGCACTGGAAATGAAAATTGGTTATTGCTATTGCTTTAAGCCCTTTGCATGCTCAGTTTAAACTGTATACTGTGTGTCCGTTGTGTATCTGTTCAGGCCACATGTTAAGTGTCCATGCAGAGCAGAATGGGCGGCCCTGTGGCTACTTGGTGAAGAGGAAGAGCGAAAGAAAGACTTTATTTTGTTGTCACCACAGCAGGTATTGTAAATCTGCTCTGACATAGGCAGTGCATGCTAAAAGGAAAACACTACAGCACTTATTTCAGCAGTAGAACAACAACTTTGCCCCTGTCACAGCAGGCAGTGTTGCAGTTGCTGGTGCTGACTCAGGAGCAGGAGAGGAAGCACCTGGTCAAGTTGGTACACGGGGTCTCCCCAGAGGATTTGCAAGAGCCCGGTTGCAGAGTGCTTCCAAAAGAGGGTAAATCAATATTCTTTTCTTTTTCTGCTGCACATTTGTCAGAATCTTTTGTATTGCCCTCATCTGTCTTGTTTCCTGTTTCCTATGCAGATGGCCACAAGCAGGCCGCTTTAAGAAATGGCTGTATAAAAAGGCTGAGGCAAATCCATGCCAGCCTGCATGGATGCAATGAGACTCAGACCCCCTTAAAGCAAACAAACACTCAGCCACAACTCCAGCCCCAAACGCACACAAGCATAAGGAGTAAACACCAGCTGGAGGACTGTTCTCTGCTCCTCTTGACCCATCTAATGGAGCTCCAGGAAGTCCAAGCTTCTGCATTACTGCTGGCACTGATGGACAAGGTGAGTCAAGGCAACCATAGCAACCATTTAAAAATTTTCCACAATAACGCCTTTATTGTCCGTGTTAGAGTGTACAGCATGTCCAGGCTCTGCGAGATGAGTATGAATCTGAACTTCAAGTGCAGCGCTACACGAACCTACTCCAACTCCTGGTCTCAGATACCCCTCTTATACTCACTCCTTCTTCAAACTTCACTGAAAATAGCAGCAATGAGCAAATTGCAGCTCAGTCCCATTGTGGTGGACCGGTCGATGCTCAAAACAGCAGTGGTGAACCAGCTGAAGCTTCGACTGTCAATTCAGTCAGTAGTGACAGTAGAGAACTGAATCAGGTGCAAGTTGCAGATGGGACTGACAAACAGGACGTCTGTATAGGTAACTCCAAACACAGGCATATATTCAAAATACATGCCATACACTCACAGCTACAATCACAATACTTTGCGTTACCCCAGGTTGTGGAGTGGCCATGGAGGACCTGCCCTACTTGGAGATCTTGTGCGTATCAGATGCAGCAAGTAATGCTCATCAGAGTCTGGATGCAGAGACAGGACCACAGGAAGGAGAGTGCGGGGCATCAAAGAGCCCCCAGAGCTATGAGAAACAGGGCTCCCTGATCACCCTTGCTTGGAGCAAACCAACAGAGGAGGACACTGACTGTGAGGCAGAGGCTGCAGGACAGAGCTGGGAGGTTGTGAGCAAGACCCAAGTCCAGCCAAGTAACATAAACAGCACAGCTGAGCACATGCAGTGTGTGGAGACTTTGGGAGAGAGAGACAGAGAAGATCTGAAACCCACTCTTTTCCACTCTGATTCCACAGGTCATCTTGACACACGGTCTACAGACCAGCAGTGCAACACAGTAGGACAGGTACTCTGTAAGTGTAAAGTAGATCATGAAACAGTGTATTACTATGTTATGCATCTGATTTCTTCCCTTTTATATTCTCATTAGTTAACATTGGAGGATAGAACAAGAGACGCTGTGCCTGAATGTGACCTTCCAACACATGCTTTGGAAGCAGAGATCCTGGAGGCAGTGCAGCCACATCTCTTGGTTGACCCTTCTGAGATTAAACAGCATGCTGGTGACCTTTGCCCTGGACTGAACAATGAGACAGCTAATGTGGAAAATGAAGGTGATGAGGTTGAAATGGGTCCTGCTGCACCAGAGTCATGGGACCTGAGAGGGCCTGAACCCCCTCACGCTGAGGACCAGAAATATGATTCACAAGCCACAGTAAGAAGTGTGCAAACTATAACTAACTATGACTGAGTGGGACTAAAAAAAGTTGTTCTGATCTTTGAGCTAAAGTGCAGTTTAATTTATGATATTGCACTGCCACGCTTCAATGTTGATGCCAAGAATAGCATATCCTTAATAAAGTGGATGATAGTGATGATGAATCACCCTAATGCATGAATCATACATCAATAATGGCCTAATTTTATGCTTGATGGTGATGAAAATACAAAAAAAAAACAACTCAACGACAACCAAAAATAGCATATTGTCAATATTTTAGAGACCCCCCCAGAGTCTTCAGGGGAGCTTGTGTCTTATTAAGTGGAGCCGAGCTCCCCGGGCAGCCCTGTAGGCCCACCCTGACTGTCAGTGTGCTGTTATACATTCGTGCAGTGTTTGTTCACATTACACATCTTACTTATTTTTAAGAAATCTGCTGTTTGCTGTTGTAAAGGTTGACTGTAGCCCCGCAGAGCGGGAATCGACAATCATGGAGAGAGAGAGCGCCACAGAACCAGTCTCTGCAATGGAAAGGGAGAGGACAATGCGCAACCTGGTGGACATGCAAAGAAAGGTCGAACAGAGGCAGCAGAGAGACAGAGAGAGACAACTGCTGAGGGTGAGAGAAAGACAACTTCCTACAGAAAGGTGGATTGAGGGGCAGTGAAAGAGTATTCAGGTTATTGTCAGTGAGAGGCAGAGGTGACATGTCACTCTGACACTGTCTGTCTTTCAGGTTCAGGAGCGTTTGTCGATCATCCAGAACAGAAAGGCAGAGGAAGACCTGCTCGGCCTGAAACACACAGACAGGCTGAGGCACCTCACACAAGATCTACCGCAGGTAAAATTACTGTATGTTGAGGCAATCAGTCTTCATGATCTGATCCAGGTTTTGCATTATCGACATTACTATTGTGTTTTAGGAGGATAAGAACCATCAGAAGACAGTTGTCAGAGAGCGACTGGAGCAGCTGAGAAGAGAACGATCCTATGTCATGCAGTCCAAACGAGACAGGTAAAAGACGCTCCTTTGGATTAGACAGGAAACACCACATTCATGCTAACCATCATACCCTCTATTCCCCTTTTTATTCTTTAGGAATACTGCAGGATTTAAGGAACTCCTGGGCCCAGTAGCACTCCAGAGCAGGGACACAGATGATGGAGATGACTGAAAAACTATTGCTTAAAATGAATGTGTTAAGTCTTAAATCGTTGTCAACATTGTCTAACAACTTCAACTCACAAAAATACCACAAAGTGTTTTTTAATTATTTAAAATCAGATAATATTCTGATGTGTTCAAGTGAAATGCTGCAGATTTTGATGAATAAGTGGATGCCATCTCTGTGGTCATTACTAAAAAGATCTTAAGAATTCAGGTTGTGCATATGAAATAAAACAATCTCAAACGTGCACTGTGTATTATACAGTTTAATTATCATCTTGACAAACATAAGCATCAACAGTAATGTCATTTATCAATGACCCCCTTCAGTTGTGTACACATTACCCCCGTGTGGCCTAAATTACATACATAATGAGTCACAGAGGTGCATGTTAACAGTCTACAGAGGTTCCACCAACTCCTCTTCATGTGAACTAACTCTTATATTGGCACTGTTGGCCATTACTCACTTGTGTAAGAAATAATGTGACTAGACGAATGACACGGCTGTAGACTTTGAATGCACCTATGGACTGGGGCTGTATTTATTTACAGGTTCATGGGAATGGGAATATTGTAACATTTCAAAGGATGGAAGTTTGGCTAACAACTCTACAATGGGGAGATATGTATAATAGAGAGAGTTAGTGCAGGCCCAATGGATTTCCTGCAAGAGAGGAGGATCTCTGTCCTGGTAAGAAGAGGGAAAATGTCTAAGTGGGAGATTCTCAGCAAATAAAAGATTATGTTTTTTTCCTATTTAATTGATCCTATATAGTGTCCACTCACACTGCAGTCCAACACAAAGCAGGGATACCTATCACCCTAACAAAGCTGGAACATTCCACAGCAGCTCACACACACAGAGCCACCGCATTACACACATACATACTAAGTACATGACGAGCGTGTCCTCATAACAAATGAAGAGTACACAACTTAGGTTCAAGTTCTGTGGTCTCGAACACACTAACATTCAAACCAACAAAGACAAACAAGCTTAAATTTCAAACTAAGAAAACATGGTGCCTGGCTGACAGATGCATTATACTCAGGGCTTTAATATTCTTGCAATGTGAATGCTGGGGACTAAACAGAATCAGTCCAATTTTCCCAAATATGACAGATCACTTTAGAGGATGCAGGGGGTTAAACATGTGCGGTTCTCAGCAGGCTGTACAGAGGACACACTTTTAGGGCTGTAATCAGGTCAGCTCTTATGATAGCAGGGCACTTCAATAGCGGTGACACAGGTGTGGTGTCAGATTTCTCTGTAGTGTCCGAACCCTGGATCTACATGTGCAAGATCTTCAGCAAGAAAGCAGCATGCGCTGTGTGATAGACTAAACTACACCTTAAACAAGATAGTCAACAATATTTGCATTTTATACACTAGACTGGTGTTTCCCACAGTGAAAGGTAAAAGCCTAGAATGAAAACAGGAGGTCCAAGTCTAGTTCAGTCAGTGAACCTCTGAGACTGAGACCACCTTCTTGCTGGAGGCTTTGATGAGCACTACTGTCCATAAACACAAAATGGTCGTCACACATCCAGCATATCTCTGACTTATGGGCACCATGGAACTGAGGAGGGTGGATATACGTGTATATGTATTTGTGTATATTCTCTTTTTCATTGGTATCATGAAAGGAGAGAAATGTGCATGTATGTGCGCCAAGTCTTGAATGGTGTTAGCAATGGGACTCAAGGGATGTTCATGTGTTTATCGGTTTATGTGTGTGCATTTTTTTATGTATGAGTCTTTCTATTGGTGTGCACACTGCACCCCTGGGCCATGGTGGCCCCCTTCCTCATCAGAACTATCATTGTAGGCCTCTCTCCTGGCTCCACCTCCTGACCCTTGACTCCTGTCAAAATCTGTCAGGTCAACTTCCTCTGCATCTGCTGCTATAACAGGATTCTCAGCACGAGCAGGCAGCAAGCACTCGAGTTCCTGAAAGAGATTATTTTAAATTAAAAAACAGAAAACATCATGACACCACAGTCATTCCAACTTAATGGGAGGTAAAATTGTGCAAATCGGGATGTTTGATGATTGTCACTCACATTCAGTTTTTCTGCGCTAATCCAGTTGTTGTCAGGGAACTGGACGTCAAACTTGATGTAAAGGTCTCCCTTCTCAAATGGGTTTCTGTACTGAGGCATTCCCTCTCCCTTCACCATTCGAATACAGCCTGCCACACAAACACAAACCAACAAAAGGGTGTCAAGCCATGCATGAGGATCTTTCAGTATGAGACACAAGCTAAGAGAACTGTCAAGCAATTAAAAACTAGGCATTAAATACCACTTTCACAATAGGATGTGATTTAAATGTTCATCATGGAGGATGTTCTTTTCTCGCTGTGCTCAGTTTTGCAAGCAATATTTCTGCTGTTATTCCCTGTGGATCTGCACTCCATTAGTGTCAGTGTGGATTGCTTTTCCGAAACATCAGTTGTTTAAACTTTTAATCTGTTTCCCGATAAAATAAAAGTGTGCTCCGCCAACCTTAAAAGCTGCAGTAAATGTAAGAGTAATCATCTTTTATACACTACAACGTTCATCAGAGCAAACCAAAAAAAGCAGGAAAGTGACAAACATATCAGACACAAAATGAATGAATGCTGTATAAGGACATGTTTACCTGGCTCGATGATCTTGCCAGGTGGGTATTTGACAAGCAACTGACGTCCATCAAGGTGTGTGACAGTCATCTGGAAGCCACACAGGGCCTCAACCAGGCCGATACGTTGGACCATGTGAAGGTCACTGCCTTCACGGCGGAATTCCTGATTTCGATTGAAATCATAAATGTGTTGCTTAGGTTATTACATGTAACAAATAAATATAGAAACATCTCCTAAATAACAATTATTATTATCTTCTTAGCCATGATAATGATGTAAACACATTGTTGTTGTTTTTTACCTCATGTTCTTTCTCCTGCAGCACGAGGACTATATCTCCTGGTTCTACGCCTGGTGCTTGGTCAGCTTCCCCAGAAAATGTGATTTTCTGTCCATGTCTCATGCCTTTGTCCACGTGCACCTCCAGAAGCTTAGTCTCCTTACACACCTTATGACCCTCACACTTTCTGCAGCGGTCCTTCTCATTTATCACCTCACCTGCACAAGCACACATACAGAAATTGAATAGTTTCAAAGAGCTGCTGTGCTCATTATTGTGTATTATCAATGTCTTATAAATAAAGTCAGTATGTGGGTGTTTATGAACATATTACCCTCTCCATTGCAGTCTGTGCAGACTGACTGCATCTGTTGGACCATCCCAGGGGCCAGCTGTCTAATCATGATTCTCATACCTCGTCCTCTGCATGCCACACACTTCTGCACTGCTCCTGCTTTACCTCCCTGACTAAAAGGGCAAAAAGTAAATCATCACTGTTAAAAAGGAATTTCTATCTCACAAAATTACTGCAATTACATATCTTCCATCAGGGATGTTGTTTTTTTTTAGTGCTGTCAAGCGATTAAAATATTTAATCGCGATTAATCGCATTAATGTCATAGTTAACTCGCAATTAATGGCACATTTTTATCTATTCTAAATGTCCCTTGATTTCTTTTTGCCCTATATTTTTTTATATATTTTTTTTTATCAACATGGAAAAGTGGATCGGCTTGCTTTGTGCAAATGTTTTTATTGAAAACAACATTAGCATATACTGTAGTGTTCAATTTCACACTTGGAGCAAATAATCTCTCACACAATGTAACACTCTCCATCAATAAAATGGTGGAAAAAAATGCCAATAATATTAGCTAGACCTTCGTCCTCCACAACGTTAACAGGCTTACATGCAGTAGCCACCTATTTAGCTATGGCTGCAGTAAGTTTGTTCTTAATTGTGGTATCCATGTGCTTCTGTCTGAAGTAGGGATGCTCGATATTGGCTTTTCTGCCGATATCCGATATTGTCCAACTCTCAATTTCCGATACCGATATCACCCAATACCGATATATGCAGGCTTTTGACACCAAAACTGTTAGGTAACAACATAACATATCTCCTATTGTGGAATTAACACATTATGCCTAATTTTATTGTCATGCCCCACTGGATGCATACATAAATGCAACATGGCTTTCCAAATGTAAACACTGTGCAAAATAAGAGAACAACTTCAACTTTCATTGTATTAATACTGAAAAGAAAAAAAAACCTGAAGGAGTGCTAATGTAAATTCTAAGCCAATTGTTAGTTTGGTTAAGGAACAGCTCATAGCAGGGTAAAATATGCTGAAGCCTACATAACAAACATCGGTTATAAAAACCAGATACCGATAATTCCAGATATTACATTTTTTAGTGAATATCGGACGATATTGTCGGACGGCCGATATTATCGGACAGCCCTAGTTGAAGTCATCCATTGTCGCCTGGCTATGACGAGGGGGCGGAGAATTCACATCAGCTGTGTGTTTGGCCATCAAGTGGTATTTCAGACTGGACGTGCTGCGATGATAGCTCAGTTCACAACGACAAAACACACAGATCACTTTGATCTTGTCAATGGAACCATTGGGCAACTTTTTTAAAGTAAACTTTCCATTCAGAATATTATTGGCATCCATTTTGGCGTCTCACGCTCGCCATCCACTCAAAACGTAACGTCTCAGTGTTTCCTCTAGGATTTTTTTTAGCAGTGGGGGCAGGCCAAGGTCTAGAGTGATCCGTCATTTCCGGTTTTAATTTTTTTTGCCGACAACACAGATTAGCGTCACCTGCTGTTATGGGGACATATTACGCCTCGCGCACGCGCAGAACGTACGCTCCAGTTGGCGTCGGTTTGGTGTTTTTGGAGGCACTTTTTTGACCGACTCGGGGAGACGGGAGCCGACTGATCAGTCCAACTGCTTTTCTGCCAACGTTACTAGTTGTTGCAACCGCATGTGAAAAAAACTACAAAGTGTGCTAGGCCAAAAATCTTGCGATAAAAAAAAATGTACGCCGTTAAAATGGGTTTGCGTTAACGCCGTTAATAACACGTTTAACTGACAGCACTAGTTTTTTTTTAATAATTAAAATGAAACAACCTAAACAAACTCACCCATTACAGGCACCACACAGCACATTCTTACTGAGCTGCAGTTTGGTGGTTTTGCCATTGTAGAGGTCTTCAAGAGAAACTCTGTACGACAAAAGAGTTATACGAGTTAGATGTGTGCAACACCACATTATATTTGAACCTTCCACTGAAGCACCCAAAGTGCATTTAGGTACC